AAGACAAAATTGCCGAAGTAAAAGACCTTCGGCGGGTGTTCAGAGAAAATGGCTACCCGGGCACACTCGTCAACCGGTGATTGCGCAAACGAGATGGCCAACAAAATCGCACCGATCCCAAAATTTAGCGAGAGGTCCCGTACGTCATAAACGTCTCGGAGGCCGTCGGCCACCTTCTCGCACCACGTGGAGTCGCACACAGGCCGGAGGCAACCATAAGGCGTCAAACAAGGAAACCGAAAGACCCAATGCCACGCCAAGAAACATCTGGGGTCCTCTACAGGATCTGATGCAGTTGCGGACAAAGCAACTATGTCGGAGAAACTGGCAGATTTCTCAAGACGCAAATTGCCGAACACGCGACAGCAGTGAGGCGAAATGCTGCCAATTCTCAAGTTGCGGCTCATTCGACACGACCAAGCCACACATTCAAATTTAATCAGGCCGCAATTCTGGCAAGAGGTGACACTCAGGTGAGCCGAGAATTACTTGAGTCATGGTTCACGGGCCCCAATCCATAAACAAGTGCAACGACTTGCCCAATCCATATTCGGTGCTGATACTCAATCTGATCAAAGCAAGTCGCCACTTAGGGAACGCACAGGCCACCGCGTCGTCTTACCCAACACCGGAGAGCCAGGTGGCCGAGCAATCATCACGCCCGAGTCCACCACGCATGATGAAATTTCAACAAGTCAGAACCCGCATGTCGTTCAACAAAGTATCAGCACGCAAGAAGGCAATTACCGTTAATTATCGTTGTATGTTTGCAGTAAGGACTACATCCTATAAATACTGCAAATTCCTGTGCATACCTTACCCGTATTTGTTAGTGCTTTCTGCTCATGTTTCTGATGATGAATCCGCGACGGATTTTGAAACATCAGGCGAATAAACGTGGTGTCCCAGCGATCGAGCCGTCTCCCCCTCAATTACTTCCTGGGATTCGCATGTTCGCTTGTATTGGTGTTTACTGTTTCAGCTGACAATAATACTTGCACTTATTAGTCACAGTCACAACAATTTTTAACGTTTTTGGAATTTGAAGCCTTTTACACAAATGGTATTGCTAAAAATAACTAATATTTCTTTTTATATTTCATTTGAGTCTTAAATTCACTTAAGGTTGTTCATTATTATTTCCAAGTTTTTGTATATTCGTTAATGCCGGTTTAAGAGTGATTATAAATCATCCGTAAATTTCCAAATTTTGTATCAGATAGGTTTCATACTGTAACAACGTTGTGGAGAACGGACAGATTCGGTTTACAACGAAATTAAACCGATGGAGTGCTACTCAATGAATGATAAGGTAAACTATTAATGCAAAGGAATAGTTAATTTATTGTCAGAACATTAGCCTTTCCTCGTTCGACTTGCGACAGCACGAGAATGACAGATGAATCAATCGGAAATACGAAGGCGTCATGCAAAGCAAATCACCAAAGGTAAACCTACTTCATACAATGTGAATATGGGGTTTTTATTTTGCGTGAGGGGTGGATGGAGAAATGTTATGCATTTCGGGCCCATTTAGCCCATTCCCTGTCTCAAAAATTTGCTTTAAGACTCTTCCGTCACGGCGCTTCCTTTCGCTTACTTGGCCGAACTGCTCGTTCAGTAATCCTCATGGGCCAAAAATCCGTTCTCTGTGAAAGAAGTTGTGGATCTTTTCACGTGTTAAATATCTTTAGCGCACTCCGCTCTAGTGACCACTTTGATTGGTCGAATAAGGAGTAGAACCTTCTCGTTGTAGCCACTCACAACTATTTAGTAAAATAATGTTTCTGGAAGAATTGTATACATTTAAGCTGACCCTTCGAATTATTTAAATGCCAAATTTCATTACCAATTCAAACCTATAAAACCGGGACGAGAAGTGCATAAATTGACGCGTGTGATGTTAAAAAAACTCAGTTCGAAAGATGTGCAGTGTTTACATTAAAAGTTTAGCGCACATGTGGATCACAATCGAAGTTTTTCCCGCGCAATAGACTCGACGTCAGGTCCATTTCACACTCGACGTAATTTAGAACCGAAACCCTGGACGCCAGAAAAAAACTAATGTGGACGAAAAATGATCATTCATGAAGTCGTAACTCGTAGGTTTGCGTTCCATGGTATACCGAGATCCGATCAGCCAGAATTCTTCTCGAAGTAAATGATGAAAATGTAGATTAATAAAGTATACTTGAAGAAAGTTATCGTTTTCTTAAAGATGAATTCGCAAGCAGTCATTAATCCATTTTTTCAAATTTCTACGTAAGTTACATGCCTCCGAACACACTATTTGTGTGCTTAAAAGTCCTGGTTTTCCCGGTGACTTGGCAAAACTCTCAAGAGGACCTTTTATAAACAAGGATATGCAGGTAAATCTAACATTAAATTCTGAAATAAATGCAACCCCAGCGGTATGCCTAGTAAGTATAATAGACAAGTGTTTGCTTTAGACTATACATACAAGCAAATTCATTGAAATGCGTTGATTACGATTACGTCAAACATTTAGTTGAATATTATTTTACTAAATGCTTTCAGGAAAAGACTAAAAGGTCTGATTACGTATTAGTCCACTTTCCTTACTGGAACTCTCTCATTTGGCGGAGGGAACTGGAAGAGGGCTTCATGAGTAATAATGCTAAGAAAAGTATATTTTTGCACTCGCGAAGATCCCCGTCACTGTCTGCATATTTTGCGCAGAACTGTCTTTTAAAACTGTCTCATTTAGTAAATTATGTTGATAGACTCTCGACCGTTAGGTGGTATCTAATGAAATGACGAAATTTTCGAGATCCGTCGCGGATCCGTCATCAGAGACATAGTCAGATAGCAGTAGAAGACCCATATCTGCTACTGCGATCTCACTATATCTCTAATGAGGAATCCACGACGGATCTCGAAACGTCAGGCGAATAAAAGTATGGTCCCAGCGATCGAGTCGTCTTCTTCCCACTTAGGTTTGGTGACCTATCTCATGAAATATTCATTGATATTCTGAAATGTATTTTTGATTAGAAGGGATGGCAAAAGTCTATTATAGGTAACACCACGGAAACCAAAAATCTCAGAATTCTGTAATATGGGACTGGTGGTAGTGATGCTTTGTTTTAAAATGGACTATTCATTATGTTAATCAATTTTTAAAGTATCTCGCGCTTTTCGTTGCTCTATATTAACGTTTTATGGTAGTTTTTTCTATCATTTCCTGTTTTTTTGCTATATTTCTTTTATTTTCTCTCCTGCGTCTTCATAATGCCTCATCCCTATAACTCGCATTATCATCGGTTCCGTATTACAGATTTCTGGGGTTTTTGGTTTCCGTGGTGGTAACTAGAATAGTCTGTTGCCAGAAAGAATACCTATGTCTGATTGATTGATTATCGTGTGGCATGCCCTCAAGATAATAAAGTTACACAAGGATGCCGAATTTTGAATGCACTTCCTTTAGGCCGCGCACAAGTAAGATGACTACTGACTTAGTGGGAATAGTTTTCACCAATTTTTCCATGTTACACGAGTGTGGAACACAACAATCGATCCCGAGTCAATGTCTCGCTCTAGATTTGAGTGCCTACAGCCCACTCAGGCGGTGGCATGACAACGAGCAACCATCACGCAATCTAATTACCTGCAATATTAAAAACTATATGAAGTTTTGACGGTGTATCGACGAGAACATTGTCCCCTCGTATTTGCTATTCAGGAAATTAAATGTGCGCTTTGCTGTTACTGCCTCCAACATAGATATTAGGATAGACGTCCAAGCAACACCTCCGACTTAGTATTTTTTTTCCCAACCAACCATTGCAGTGATGCATCCAGGGACTTGACGCTGAATACTGCGATAAGAAACTCAATCTTAGCTGCGAGCTTCTCAGGCGGGCTGATTCTTCAATGTCGTACAGGCCAGCTGGCAGGTTGGTTGACCGACAGCATGACCTTCACGCGACACTTCCCCGATTAGATAATAGGCCCTGATTTTGGAGCTGAAAAAAATTTTTATGATGGTTAATTATCAATGTCTCTCCTCTGTTATTTCTAATTTACTTGATAGCTATATGATTCGTGACATGGCTCAGTCATGTAGAAAACAGAGAGGCGGTGTCCCTTTGTATTTTTCTTGTGAACTTTCAAAAATACCCAATGCGCCTTCTAGTTGTGTATCAAAGTTAAATGCATTTCCAGCTCAACACTGCAGCTTCTAAGTTTAATGATGATGTGATTGACCTGTGTAGCCGGAACCTCCAAGGGCGGTCTCCACGAATGGTGTGCATTGAAATTTCGTTGGAGAAACCGGAACACATTTACAAAAGCAAATGTATAAGCGATGGCTGACGCTGAACTCGAAATCGCTGGTAGTGACACGTACACACTTCACCAACGGCGCCTT